GTAAGAATAAAACATGATGTTATTCAGGCCAATGCAGGATTATCTGGTATCTGCTCTCATATGGCTCGGGCAATAGTAGGTTTTATCCATACAATAGGACTCTATCAAAATGTACCCTCCGGCCAGACTCCCCCCCCCCCCCCCCTCCATATATATCTGTCGGCGAAATATCGAATCTCACATAGGTTACGTAAAGAAGAAGGAAAAATGATGAGAAAAAGTTAGTGGCAGCTACGTAACATCTGTTGACGCTAACAGTTTGTACTGTAGAAGCGTTTTCGTATTTGTCTAAACGAGATGCAGAACCTGATCTTAAACAACGAATCAGATGTACTGCTCCTCACATCAGTGTCTTCTATAAACATCCCAAAACGATACGATGTCTGGCAGAAAATGTAGTTGGCTATAACCAACAAAATTCTTTCGACAATCTCACTGGGAAAGAATCATTGAATGCCGATATCCGAGGTGTTTTTATCGAATTCAAACAGAAAATACCTTCTCAATCATTGGTGACAATGTATTACTCATGAATAAATGCAGTATGACTGCTGAACAGGCAGGGTTTATTCACTGCGAAACGATCAAACGGTTATTTTACCGATACGTACTTGAGATATTTTCTAAATGACAGCACACGATGTCGATTGGTGGTTTCAATATCATTTCGGTTATAAGACACCTAGTGTGATCAATGTGACCAGCGTAAGTCTACTCTGCATTGCCTGTCGTCATATTCGAGCATCTATAGCTAAATGGCTTCTAAAAAATAGTGCCAATGTTAACGTTCAATTTCAAGATAATTCAAAAAGTACATCATTACATGGTGCAACCCATCATGGCCATGTATTAGTTGTCGAAAATCTCCTCCATAACCATGCGGATGTCAACACTCGCAATAAATATCGCTCTACTGTGTTCGATGATACGGGCATGGATGTGGGTTGGTGTGAGAGCGTGGATAACTGTGGTTGTGTTTGTAAGTGTGGGTGGGTGTAAGATAAGTACGGGTGTGAGTAAGGTCTCTGTCATCATTCTCACCCTCACATTCCACAACTACGTAGCCCACACACCCACATGCACACATACGCACATCCACACTCAACACAATCAAACTGCACATCAACATCCACGTCCACACCCGCCTACACCCACACCCACATTCACATCCTCGCTTATCGACTTTCTCCTTTTCATTTTATAGATAAGACGTGCAACTATATACCAGCACAATGTCGACTTTGAACGATACAAATGCCGATGGCGATAGTGACCATCGTCGTCGTATCGATAATAGTCAAAAAGTAGAAACTGCAGAGCCTGTTGAAACATTTCAAGATTTAATAGACTTGCTCAAGTCAACTTACCAATCTCAAAGCACAGAAGAAGCAAAAGCAGAACAACCATCTATATGCAAAGGGATTCTTGAAAACCTTACTGAACTGAAACAAGAAATCACGCTCCATTATTCTAAGATGAGCACTACGATGTATCTAGATATATGGCATCGTTTGCTTAAACTATGGCTCGAACTGTCAAAGACAACTGCCCATATCGATTCGATCGATCGGAGTTCCGCTGCCATGTGTCTTGATAGGATTCTGGTTGTCATTAATCAACTCAGAAATATCGGTTATTATCGTCAAATGTGCGAAGATGAAGCAATTAAAAAGAAATTTTTAGTCTGTTTCGATATGCTTGATTTGCCTCATATTAATGCTTTTCTACAACAAAACAATGAAATACCCGATTCGATCATATATTCTTTCAATACTCGTCTCATTTTGCGTGAAATGGCCTACAATTTACCATCGAATGTCATCAGCATACTTCAAGACCGAAACAGTTTACTGGTGATATTAAAGAATTATGTTGATCAACGAACGAAATCGACGCAATTGACTGAAAGATGTACCGTTGATTATATTCTCTTATTTTTTTGGAATATATGCGATCAAACCGTTAGAGTCATTTACAAAAGGCATCACCACTTTTTCTGATCATTTTTGATTTTCTCTCCGCCCTATCAAATGTCGCTATCAGCTTAAATTGTTTTGATTACTAAATGAAATAAACCAGACACCGATTAAACTATGTTCTCTGTTCTTTATTGAGACTGGCCAAATGTTATTACAGCAAATTGACACCAGAGACTATTTGGTAATATACTATTAGGACAACTATATAGGTGAATAGTAACCGGCTCGGTACGCAAATCACACTCAAGAAAAGTGTGTGCTTGAAGCGTGCTACACACGTAACTGGATAATATCAACAGCAACCCGAAGAGAGATCGCAGATGTGCCAATATAAGCACGCTTGCACATTGGGTTCGTTCCCATTGATCTCGAAGCCAGAAAAACAGCGATGTTAGAACATGAAAACTGAGCCTCGGTTATATTCCGTGCCTGTGAAAATCCACTTCAAATCCAATCAATCGAGAGAGAGTATTCATAGTGCCAACTCATCACTCGATGCTCCTCTATACCATGCTATGAATTGACACTTCTAACAGTCCCACTGCCAAGTGATGGCGCCATTTATGAATGAAAAGTTGGCTGTACCAAAAATGATAGAGATCGGTCTGCCTCAATGTGCTGTACGTTGGCTATCACAATTAAACGAGGAAGCTGCAAATGCAGAGTTTAAGAAATCTATCTACCTTATATATAACATGGCACGGCATGACGACGGTGCCGATGAGCTCAACAAATATGGAGCAATTGCAGCACTGAAACAATATCGATGCAAGTAAATGAACTCTGTGCCAAAAATCTTTCAACGTAATCTCTGTAAGATTAAAATGTGAAACACAGTCAGACAAATTTTATTCCAGATGAGAACGTTTCAACAACATCTGTTTCTGGATATGAGATATTGTTGTATGCCCCTATTCGTGCAAATATGAAAAGAGCAGGTTGCCATTAGAGATGGCGCTTTATCGATACCATGTCATTACGTCACTACTACATAGAGTAACGCTCTGAGCTACTAGCTAGTTTTGATGAGTAACAAAAGTCTTTACTTTTTTATCGTATCATAGACACCGTATTACTAAAGTGCTAATATGTTACTAGTGGAACTAATGTAAAAGCATTAAAATGACTGTATAGTTGTATACGTTTTGAGCTTTTGCATGGATTATAACTTTTATGATCTTCTATTTCGTCTAGACAATAAGAATATCCTTCCTTTCGTTTATGTTGCTAGTGTCGCAGCGTCAACATGCTGCATCACTATACATATTTATGAGCAGTCATCCTATTCCACAGTGTTGAACATTGCGGAACCAGTTTCACTCTCGAAATCAGTTCCATCCAATTCCGGGAATCTGATCGTCCTACAATATAAGAGAGCTACTCGACTTAGATAGAGTTTCATCGAATTCCAGAATCGGTAGGAATTCCTACGAATTCCGTGCAAGTCCATATCGACTCAATTCTCGGAATTTCGCGCCAGAATTAGGTAATGAGGGTGTGGGTGTGGGTGTCAGTGCAGGCACAGAATATCTTTACATCCACATCCATACCCGCACCCACCCACACTCACACCTTCACCCACGCCCACCCACACCCGCATCCACACCCACTCATACTCACACCTTCACCCACACCCATCCACACCCACACCCACATCCACACCCACACCCTCAAAGTCGTTCTCGATCAATAATTGCAATACAGAGATATTCAAAATTATTTTTACACGTGACGAAAAATCTGCAATCCTAATATCTGCACGAGATTTCAACCTATTGAGTGGTAGTTTTCACCAAAAAAAATGTCGCTAAATGTTCATAGTCTGTTTGCAAGAAAGTATTATCACGATATACAATCACTTAGTGTTTTTATGCTACAAACATCAACATCATATGTTTCAATTTGGCTCAAAATTAGTCATACATCCTATATAAAAATAAATATAAATTAACGCCTTTAGCGACCTTACATTGTGTCTTTGTCATTGGTTTCAAGGACACAGCGCTCTCGAATCGTAAAGCACATCGAATTTGCGAAATATGACTTTCTAAAGTGTTGTCACGATCAAAAAGAGAAATGTAAAATCACCAAGCCCATCAATTTATATTTATTTTATATAGGGTGTATGAGTAATTTTGAGCCAATTCAAACTATACAATTTTATTGTTTCGAGCTTTGGAACTAATAATTCTAATATGTCTCAATTGATTGAAGACAAGGTGATGTTCGTGATGCAGAGTTCACTGAGACCGATATGCATTCAAAATATCAGCTGAAAACCATAAGAAATGATGCTAGTTCAGCGGGCAGAGGGAAAGGACAGGTGCTTTTGACCAGGACTGTGTTTCAACACTCATTCATAATCGTATTTTGCAAAGTTAATATCAAACTTGAGAGAAGCTTCACATATATATACAAAGTGTAGACAAACATCAGTTTGCAAGTGTAAATATCTCACAGATGAATTGATTTTTTTATCAGTAACTACGATTACATAGGGACTGGATGAAACAAGATGCGCATTTATGGCTCGACATCTCGATGACCTTGGCACTTCTCTTCTCACCTGAACAGCTCAAAAGTGATAAAGAATGCATGAATGACGTCCTCAATCAGCTTCTTCAACACACTATCGACGCTGCGAATGACAACCGATTCCGGAATAAGATTGGTTTTCATGTTAGTGAACCACTTGCTGTCATGGTCAAATTATTTGTTGTGGATGAGGGAACGCTTGATTATATTCTCTGTAATGCAGAAACTGAGCCTCCATCAAACATATCATCAACCATTCGTCAATTCACTTGGGTTCTTATCGCCTTTTATAACGCACAAGATAAAAACAATCAACTCATACAATTCACGTTGATTGCGATAATGAACATTCTGTGGAGTATCTCATTTCAAGTTCAATATAGGCCCTACCTAACCGCTGATAATAATAAATTAGCTATGTTTATCATCACAGATCTAGCCACAAATGATTATGAGGAGACCATTTATTGGTACAAACCACGTTCCATGGAAAGTGTACGAAATGCTGCTCGTGGTATACTTCACAATCTTGATAAAGTAACTGATGGCACCAATAGAGAAAGGAAAGATAGTTCGAATCGAAGTAACACGATACAGAGAGCTATCAGGTTGGTCGAACTCTATATTGTCATATTGTTCAATTATATAATTTTTGTTTGCCAGCAGTTCTACGGACAAGCCATCTGTTATGATCAGTTATTGTCATGAAAACAAAGACTTTTGTAACAAACTGCTCAAAGTATTGTCAACTCATTATGATAAATTCCATGTGTGGGTTGATCAAACTCATTGTCAATCAGCCAGCGATCTATGGGAATTGATTGCTACTGGAATGGAACAAGCTCATATGATTGTGTGTCTTGTCTCTAATTATTATTTTCAGAGTAAATCGTGTCGTCGAGAGTTTACGTATGCTGTAGAAACGCTTAAAAAACCTATCATACCTGTACTGCTGGAAAGCATTGAACCTAAAGGATGGTTGGGTAAGTTCAGTGTCATCTTTGCATATTCCTGCTTTGAAAAGAGATTAACTTTGAAGAAGACTGATGTGAATTCTATTGAAATTTTATAGGTATCCGAATGTCAGGTATGAAGTATGTACGTTTCAAAAATGTCAAAGAGCTAAATCAAACGAAAATGGATGATCTGTTAAACACTATTCTCGTGTCGCTCAAAGAATCACACAGCTCAAGTGAGAAGCCACCGGCTACTCAGCATGTTTCGAATCCAATGAAACAAGATAAGCTAGTTGTAACAAGCCTCAAGAGTTCTATTAGTACTTCTATGTGCTTACCATTGAATACATGGTCATTGGCGACCATCGACCACATCAAACAATGGTTTGCTCATCATCACATTTCAGATGAACTTCGAGACTTGTACAACTTTCGGACCGGTCAAGAAATGCTTCAATATGCTCAAGTGCTGATCGACAATTATGAGAAACACATAGAAATGTACTCAAAAGCATTTTCGAAGAAATACAACGGTGATGATCTTCTTCCACACGAATTCAATCGCTTCGCACAAGCCTTGGAACAACTGCTCAAAGATAATAAGCTATCTTCAATCTCTACTCCTGTTGCTGCATTGGCTACGCGAAGTCCGCTGTGTACGAACAGCCAATATTAATCCCACACGAGCTCTGGTTCTCTTTCTCTGTATTCATACGTATACTCATCTTTTGGTCACTCGTACACATACTCAAAAATTCAGTATTGGGCTTTTGAGAACTTTATCAAAACTATAATGAAAATTCACTTGAGACCCAGTAGAAATAACATCGACATGAAGTACTCTTGATTCGATTTATTTTCCGTAATAAATGATTTAAAATAAAGATCTTCTTTTTTTCTAAGTTACAGCTTGTTATATCTGCTATATAAAGGACATCTCGAACTATATCGCCCCTCTAACACGCTATATTTACCTTTTCTATAATGGGTTTCATAACCCAAGCAGACAAAATTTTTGAAAAACGCGTTTAAACGCATAAACGGGAACCGCGATTGTAAAGGTGTGGGGTGTGGGTGTGGGATGTGGGTGTAGGTGGGTGTGGGTGTGGGTGTGAGTGTGGGTGTGTGTGGGTGTGGGTGTCTGAGTGTGGGTCAGTGTTGCCAGATCTTCCGGATTTTCCAGAAAAATTCCGGATTTTGCAAGTTTTTCCGAATTTTTTCTGGTTTCTGGATTTTTTCCGGATTTCGGCTTTTTTTCCAGATTGTTTTCGAATTTTCACAGATTTATGATTTTTTCAGTTTATCGTGTTCAGAGTAGGGATGTACCGAGACTGAAGGTTCCCTAATAAAAATGGAAATCTTTCTCCAAGAAGAATCCCCGAGACTCGACGAGATTTCTATCTAGAGTTGCTCAGCTTAATTTGATTTATATGTGCATATAACTGGACAGATCGATTCCCAAAGTAAAAGGTTGAGTCTCGGTCAGTTTCAGTCAAAAGATTGAAAAAAACGGAATTTTGACCGAGACTCGGCCTTTTACGTTCGGAATCGATCTGCCCAGTTATATGCACATATAAATCAAATCAAGCTGAGCAACTCTAGATAAAAATCTCGTCGAGTCTCGGGGATTCTTCTTACAGAAAAATACCTATCTTTCTTAGGGAATCTTCAGTCTCGGTACATCCCTAGTTCAGAGATTTATAATTTTTTCTTATCAAAACTAGCATTATTGAAACTTATTCATTCTAATGAAAAATATTGTCCTAAAAAATAACGTGTAAATTAACAGCGAAATATGTCATTGATAATTTCTGATTTATTGAATTAACTATGTTTTGATGTGCATTTTCTATTGTTTCATTCAAATATATTTTGTGAAAATAAAGAATAATATTATTGATAATTTGATTAAGAAAAATGCACTTTAAGCGATCAAAACAGACCCTCGAAAATCTTTCCGGATTTTTTCGGATTTCAGAAAAAAAATTCCGGAATTTTCCGGATTTTGAGATTAGAATTCCGGATTTTCGGATTTCGCATCTGGCAACACTGGTATGGGTGTGGGTGTAGGTGGGTGAGTGTGAGTGTGTGTGGGTTGAAGAAGAGAACAACATCCATACCCACACCCACACCCAGAATAAATGGTTGCACTTTGCATTTCATATTTTAAGTTCTAAATACGTTTTATAAAAAAAAAAACAGCACATATCATAAGATGCAGCGTGAAAAGTTCTACAATCTACACAGTAAAGTTTATTTTAATTGTATAATTTTTGTTTTCAAAAACAGCAAAACTCTGTGTAATCAGTTTTGGAGGTTGTGAAACGATCATTTTTTTCTACACGAATAAGAAATTTTATTTTTCTTATTGCATCTTTTTATCATCTAATATGATTTCGTAAGAAAAAAAAACAGCATATATCATAAGATGTAGTGTGAAACGCTCTACAGTCTGCATCGTAAAGCATATTTCAATTGTGTACTTTTTGTTTCCAAAAAAAAGCAAAATTCTTTGCGACCATTTTTCGTAACCTCAAAAATTGGTCGCACACAGTTTTGCTTTTTTTGGAGGCAAAAAGTACACAAATGAAATAAGTTTCACTATGTAGATTGTAGAGCTTTTCACGCTGCATCTTATGACATATTTTGTTTTCTAATGAAATGTATTTAGAGATTACAATATGAGATGTGAATTGCGGCCACTTATTCTGAGTCACTCGTCATTTTCTATGAAAATCGAATTGTCGCGGAAGGATTAATCATAAAATCGAAGATAAGCGCTTTTCTCGAGATTTGAATGCGAAATTCCAATTTTTCATAATTTTTTTAGACTTCTCGTGTTCAATAAGCATGAAGATCTCACTAAGCTAAAGTCCAACAAATGCAGTGCAGGATGACCCAAACGTAAGGAAAAATAATGGGCATCCGATAATAACTGATGAAAAACTGTTAATGATATTTTTCCTACTTTTTATTAATGTAAAGAGCTGAAATTTTTATTACATATATATCTAATTAAGACCTTTTGTTTCTGGAAGTTTCAGCTCTTTACATTAATATAAAGTATGAAAAATATCACTAAGAGTTTTTCATTAGTTATTATCGGATACCCATTATTTTTTTAAGATTAACTAAGTATAGATATGACAATAAAATGATATTTCCTCATCATTCACTATAAAAATATGTCGATATAGAAGACTTAGAGAAACCAAAGAAAGCTATCAAATTTGTTAATTAGGATTAAAAGATGTTGGCAAAAAACAATTCGATATTTCAGATAAAATTAGTTTTAATAATGTTGCTCACATAAGTGAAATTACCATTTCAGTTCATTCTTTTTTTCTAAAATTAACAAAGAAATTAACTTCTTATAAGTTTTATCATCTATTTAAACGTGTATGCAATTGTTGTTCTCAGATATGTCTTAAAAAACGTTCTGCATTGTGGTTGTTGCTTGTCTGGGATCCTGAGGGGTAAATTCTTTCGTGTCTCAAATTTCTTTTATCCCATTGACTGAAAGATGACTGACTTTGCAAAGTGCAATAGTCAACTTATTGCATTTCACTCGCTTAGTTGTCATGTTGAATTCTTCTTTAAGGCGGCTGATCTTCTTCTTCTCGACGCGTTAGTTCTGACTCCAGTCGGTTACTCGGTCTTCTTATCTAGTCATCCTTTCGAAATGAGAAAAAGTTTGTCGAGGTCGTGAGAACGTGATGAGTACACATTTGAAATCCGTTTTTCAAAAACTCGGTTTCGTTTTAGGGACTATAAAAATGTAAAAAAAACGATAATTAACATCTGAGAGTTAACTTCTGTGATCATAAATGACTTAAACTGACAGCTATCTTTGATATTTAAGATGCTATAAGGTAATAGTTGATTCAGATCCATTACCTTTTAACTTATCAGCTGAGTCAAAATGGCTTAACGCAGCTGAAACTCATTATGATTTCCTCTACGCAAGTCTAAGATTGGGCTTTGCTCGAGTAACAGTCTAGTTCTTTTTTCTGTTATTTATTTGAATATTCAGATATTTGTTAGAAAGGGCGTGGCTGTGAGTATGATTCAACGGGAGATAAACACCCCCAGTCTCAAACGTGTTGGCTGATTTGATTAAGTCAAGAAAATTGACAATTTTACAAAAGCTACTATAGAATTGCAACCATTCAAAAGTGAAAAATAATTCTCGTGAACACTTTTTTGAAGCACAATTAAGAGATAACTTCGAAACAGTTTCTACTATACTGTACATACATATATTCTCCTTGCAAGCTGACTGCTTGAAAATTTAAAATAGCAATATTTTGCCGTTAAAAACAGAGGTTTTTGATATTTTTTCACAATATGGCTGGTGATACAATTTGATGAAACGTCAGTATTGTTTATCAATATTATCTGTTCGTGGAAGATCGACGCTTATTTTAGGTGATTAATTGAAACAAGTCAATTTTCCGCGAACTAAGTTACATCATTAAGAAAAAGAGGAACTCGTTGAGTTGCACTTTGACGTCGGTTATTTCTAAATGATATTTTGACTCACACACAGAATGTAATTGCGCAAGATTTACAGTAACACGTCACACGAATATGACGTGCTAGGGATCAAGTACGCATATAAATATTTGGTTCGATTCTGTCGTCTAGCACATTCATATTCTCTTTCTTATCTTTCGTTCTATCGATTGACAAGAATAACATGACCAAACACTCATTGTTGTCCTCAATCACGAATACGAAACCAATCATTGCACTCGATTGTGATGGCGTTCTTTTGGACGATCATGCAACTTTTGCTGAAGTCTATGAAAAAGCATTTGGAAAACAATTGACTGTTGTCTCGCCTAAATCCTTTCGTGTAAGTTCAAACTAAGCTTTCTATTCGACAACTTCACATTTTCCATTAACAGGCTGCCGATATGTACGGTGTAAAATTTACATCCGAGGAAGAAAATCATTTTTATGCTGTGTGGGATGCCGAAGCATGGCGGACAATGCCCATGCTCAATGGATCTCTTGAAGCTTGTCACCTATTGCATCAAGCAGGCTATGAGCTTGTCTGTGTCACGGCGATGTCTCCTCAATTTACCGATCATCGTTTGGAAAATTTTCGTTCACATGGATTTCCGATCGATCGAGTGATCAGTACGGGTTATGATGGCGAAAATCCGGGCAACAATCCGAAGAAACAAGCAATTGAAGAATTACATCCCGTGGTATTTATCGACGATTCGAAACGAAATTTCAAAGATATTCAAGGTGTACATACCCGATTCGTCTTTATTGATAAATATCATGATGATCCGAATCAACACTTGAACATTTATTATGATGTCAAATATCCAAGTCTTTTGGCTTTCGTCCATGATTTTCTCAAAACTGAATATGGGCAAGAAATCGTCTGGCCAGAAAGACCTGCTTCCCTTCTCCCATCTGTTTCATGCTAAAGTGCTATTTTGTACTATTTCATAAAGACAAGTGTACTTAATTTCAATTAAATATAAGTACCGTTGTTCCATTTGTGAAAAGATGTTGGCATATTTAATTGATGATCGAATATAAAATAGACGAGCTTGTATTGTTTTGTATCGAACGTAGGTAAAGTTAGCACGATATTCGAGTATTTCCAGCTCCGATTCACTCTCTGACTTGTGTTAGGTCTAAAGCAGGTTGTGTTATATACAGAATTTTATCGTCTATCGAATGGTATCATTTCCGATGAGAGTTATCAGACAAAAAATGAGGTGTACTCAAGAAATAACTACTCACTTTTTTCCCTTTATACTCTTAATGGAGAAAATAGTATTTCCAGCCCGGATTCGCTTACCTGGCCTGTGTTAGACACAGAATTTCATTCTCTATCGAACGGCATCGTTTTTGATAGGAGTCATCGGGCAAAAAATTTGGGTTGAATGTACGCTTGGGTGTGGATTTACATCTGGGATGAGTGTGGGTGACCGTGTTTCATATCCTATCTCACCCATACTCACTCTCAAATGTACATCCACATCCAGGTGCGCACCTAACCCAAACTTTTTGCCCGATGACACCATCAAAAATGGTATCATTCAATAGAGAATGAAATTCTGCGTCTAACACAATCAATTAGAGACACCCACACCCTATGGTCATGAGTTTTCAAGCGATATCTTGTTTTCGAAATTATGCCTTTCAAGTTGGATGAAAAATAGAGTTCGTTTCTTTTTTTTCTTTTTCAAAGGATCTTTGGAAATGGGGAATTTCATCTTCCATCTTTGTCTCTTACTGATAAATTTCTCTTCCTAAATGAAACTATTCAAGATAATCTCACATTAGAACAGAAATATCATTCATTATATAACACAATATCAACTGAACAATATCCATCACGAAGATTATCATCTTTTGCAATACACGTCGAAAATGTGATTTTCTGACAGAAAAAATGCTCTCACACAACTTCACCATTTCGACTATGGTAAGTTTTCGAATGTCAAATTTTTAACAAATACTTGTATGGTCAATTTACCAAGCATTCACGTATACTACTGAGAATGTACTGGGCTTGGTTAGAATGGAAATATCTAATCAGTCATAAAATCTTTGAAAGTTTTTTAATAGATACTACGAACAAGAGTTTCGGGTGTGGATGGGTATGAATTATCAGTCTCTCTAGTTAAGCCCACACCATTGTTAATAATGAGATATATTGATAAATGACGACAGTAATAAATAGAAAGCGAACATTAACATCAAATGGAATCAAAAATTTATCATATAATAATAAAGATTCACATTTATCATTAAGATTTCTGCAACGTACATTTGAAAAAAAAACAAAATAGTTATCAAGAAAAATTTCTTTATCAATTTTTGCTTTACCTAAATTATTATAGAATAAAAGTCTTTCATAAGGTTTTTTATTAATGAAGACCATTGTAAGAAAGAGAAAAAGAACCATTTCTATCAAAAAAAAATCTTCATATGATAAAACCATAATAATTAAATCATTTATGATGCATCTAACAAGTATTAGTAATGAATTTAAATACAAGGATCCATGTCCATGTGAGTTTTCTCTTTATTCACGGTCACTCTTGAGATAAATCGAGAAGTTCAGAATTTTTTAAAGATTCATCGTTTGGATTCTATAAAATTCATGGAAAACATAGTTGTTCTTGTGTGATGGATCATATTTAAAACATTGTTTGATTGTATATTCAATACTTGAACTATCATTATCAGAATTAAGCAATTTCCATGAAAGTATAGATTATATACCGACTAATTCATTCATAGAAATATATAGATCTTTAATAATAACAGATTCATTTGAATGATTGTATGCACTTAAACCATTTCCATTTATAACAGCTATTGGAAAAACAAAAATTTTTGGTTATTAATCTTTAATGAATTGAACAGTTTTTTCCTGCTACTAATGTTCGTATAACTCGAATTTCATGTTATTTCCATTTGTCTTTCAATCATATGATCTCGAATTGTAAATCACTGTACGATGTAACTATTCAACATCAATATTAAGTTTTATTTTAATAAGAATGATTTTTTAAAATGAAACATGAAAATTTACTTGTTTGGACACCAATATCAGTAAAACGTATTTGTTCTTTATTATCAATTATTGTATTGTTAAAAATTGAATATAACTTTTTTTTTCACGATAAGCATCATATTGTGTTCCTGAATGAATTTGATGATCATGAAAAAATCATTAGCTGTACATGTCTATTCATACGAATCAGTTAACCTAACATTGATTAAATGGTATGCGTGATAAAACAGTCACATTCCATTTTGTTGATTGATGATGACTCATTTTAAATGCATATAGTGTTGATACTAGTTATTTTTCAGATGTGAATGAATGATTATTATTTGATGATAAATGACATGGTGAAATCAATTTTTGTTTGTGTTTCATAATTATAAGAAGATTACTCTTTAGACATTCTCATATGATGATGACATTACTTAGATAAGATTTTCAGTAATGAACATGATATGACTTTTCGTATCGTTATTAGATAAAGATCAATATGAATAAGAATAAGAATTTCAAGTAGATGATTTTATTGATACAGATGAAATAGCCTTATCCACTAATGATTATTGCAAATATAATACAGATTTTTCGAAACCTAGAATTTATATATATTTTTTTTCTAGATAATATATATAGAGTATACCAAAACTAGTAGAAGTAAAACGATACAATATTATTTGAAGGCCCATATAGGTTTCACTGATAATCTAAAAGATGCTCTAGAACATTTTTATATTTTACAGTTCTTCATTTGCTGTGCTATTATTAGAATTTCAATCATAATTATTCACTTCTGATTTATTTATAGAAGGAAATCTTTTGCTGCTGCATATAGTTGGATATGGATGTGGGTGTCGATCTTGGTGTGAGTACGGGTATTAGTCTTTGAAGGAAACATATCACAGTTCGCATCTATATGGACAACCACATCCCATTAGATTATTATCTTTGGAATGCTATTGTTCAACTTATGAACTTCAATCAGATTCACAATCATGGCTCATTGCAACAAGAAATTGAAAGAGTCGTACGACTTGTACCAAAAAAAAGACACGCGACCAATGTCAAGTTTTCGTCGTGTTATAGTTCAAGAATTTTGAAAAAAAACCGAACAAGTTTACATTAATGTAGTTTTCTTGAAACAGACTTTATAGTTCAAGTTCTTGGAACTAAACTTGAACTCGTAAATCTATTTTCAAACGCTTTTGCTAATCCTTCTTGTCATGCAGCTACTAAAAACTCGAGCGAGTTCACGTCGAAAGGATCTAGTGGTAAGAGTATAAAGAAAAAAGGAGAAACTGTGATTAAGGTAGTTTGCTAAAAGAGTTATGGCATTCGCAAGTTCAGCCGTCTCTGGCAGTGGCGCTCCCTTAAATTTGTAGTAAACGAATTTGTTAATAATGTAAGGTAGTGTGAGAACTGTATTGAAAACACTATGAGTGATGACGAGAGCAATAAGTTGAAACTCTCCATGAGATACAGTGGGATGAACGAGGCGACGGATGGATCGTATATAAGCGATGGTGGCCACATTAACGACAGCCATGATAATTACAGGACACAGACCGAAGAAAATAAGAGCGAAGACATCATAAAAGATACGATAGACGCCATGTCGTGCATAGCATATGCCCTGATCGATCTCGAACAGAAGTGGGACGTGTAGATTGACAAGGAGACAAAAGACTACGAGTAACGTAATGATAATGAACGTTGTTCGACGTCTGCACAAGAACACGTAACGATGATGATTTTCGGTGAGCTGAGCCTGACGAACACGAGCATATCGATTGATAGAAGCTGCCGTGAGTAAGCATGACCCAAAAAGATAGGTGATATGAGCAAAATAACGCCGGATCTTGCACCAAATCAGTATATGATTTTCAAGTGGTAGGAGAAATCCATTCGTGAGTGACCAAACGAGTAGGCCGATGATGAGAATCAGATAGTTGTTGAGAGAATAGACTATCAAATAGATCGAACATGAATTGGAACGAAATTTCTTACGCAAAAAGACAATCAAATTAAGAGTATTTCCAATGAAACCCACTGCAAAGACAACGAGATAGATATAACGCGCGAAGATATAAACACGAACGAACGCTAACGTATCATCATTCACCATGCTTGTCGTCACTCGTTGATTCAACCTTTATTCCGCTCTGATTATAGCAATTACTGAAAAAAACACAGTATAACAATAGCACTGAAATGAACACCATTTTGGTGTGGGTGTGGGCGTGGGTATGGATATGGATGTGGATGTCTATGTGAGATGTGGTTGTGGGTATCTTGAGAAAAATGATCCACAGCCACAGTCACTGTCACTGCCACACCCACCACACCCACTTTCCGTCACGGACGAGTATATTTATTAACGAGTTCGTTCTTCTTCGATGTAGTAAAAAAAGAAGAAGATGGGTCACGGCACCAAATTGTTAGCTGGCTTCGACGAGCCTACGTTTGTTTATTTAAAAAAAATGTATATCGATATATCAAAATGTCCTTAACCACACGTACATATATATCACACAACATAAAGAGAAGAGAAGAAGAGACAACAATAACAGCAATGGAAGATAAAAGGAGAGAGATGGAAAAACATCAAGGAGCAGAAATGAGGGTGAATCATCGCTAACGCCACTTGATGAAGGTGTCTTGCAACTTGGTTTCGCTTTCAAATTTTCAGTTATTGAAGTCGATGATGACGAAATGGTAGCACTTGGTGACATGTGGCTATTCTCTCTTGTTTGACCGTCAACGTCATCCACCTCCATTTCATGTTTCGATTCGTTCGACATCGTTGAACAATTACCACTTTCAGACAGCTAAAATAAATGTAGATCAGACTTTTAAAAAGACTGATGTCTTCTTGTTTGTTTTAGATGTTTTTTCTATTGG